CCTCTGCGGTCGTATCAAGCTGCGCCCAGCGAAGCATTTTATTTTCACCTCCCCCCCTTTCCCTTATTCCAAAAAAAAATTCTTTCCCTCAAGATATGGTCAGTATCTCAATTCAAATTTCTAATGGAGTTTGCAACCATAAATACCCATTTAATAAAATTGAGAATGGAAATGGGGAATGTGTCAAAGAGACAACAACCCGACCATAGAGCAGACAACAGCCGAAGGCCACCAATGGGTTTCCAATGCAGCGAGAAACTCCCGCACCCGGAGGCGTCCTTCATCTGGCCCCTAAACAAACATGTATACCAGTCCACCGACAATGGACACCATACCAAACTCCAAATTATACACAAGAAACTAAAATTAAAAATGATACAAGACTAACAAAGGCCAGAGGCTCCTGACTTGGGACAGGCGCAAAAATGCGGCGGGGTTAAAGATGTTTTTTGAGATCTCAACCCTCCCCCTGTACCTCTAGCCAATGTTGAAAAAACAAACGTACAACAGTACGCACAGTAAAACTCAGTTTAAGAGAAGTCCGAGTCCGATGTCAGAATAGGAAACAAAAGAAAATAAACAAAATGACAATAATACATAAATAACAACAGACTACTAGCAGTTACTGACATGCCAGCTCCAGACCTCAATTAAACTGATTGAAAGATTATGTCTTCATCATATGAATATCAGGCACAATCCCTCCTGTTAGGGGTTTAGTATTATACCATCATAAAATATATGAGAAGAACATAACCCGTGTCATGCCAACAACTGGTTTTAGTATAAATATATTTAATTCCGATGCAAAGACCCTATAAGTGATTCAATATTAAAGCCAAAATATGCAATCTTTAATGACCTGACAACAGTATCGTAACTATATCCCTTCTTAATAAGTCTGTTTAAAGGTTTTGTTAGCTTTTGAAGTGAATACTGACATTTTTGTGCTTTGTAAAGAATATTACCATAAAAGATTGGATGTGAAATACCTGAACGTATAAGATGTCTGCATGTTGAGTTATATTTACGAATGATGTCCCTATACCGATGATAAAATTTAGTAAATGTTTTGACTAGTTTATGATATCGAAAACCCTGGTGTAATAATTTTTCAGTAATACATAAATTTCTCTCGCTAAAATCTAATACGTTGTTACATACACAAGCGAATTGTACAAGTTGAGATATATAAACACCATAAGATGGTGACAAGGGAACGTCACCATCTAAAAATGGATAATTAACGATAGGAAATGAAAAATCATCTCTTTTATCATAAATTTTTGTATTAAGCTTCCAGTTAATGATATAGATATCAAGATCGAGGAAAGGACAGTGGTCATTGTTAGTATTAGCTTTATTTTAAGTAAGTTCAACAGGATAAATTTCTTTAGTATACATACTGAAGTCATCATTATTGAGAGCCAATATATCATCCAAATATCTAAAAGTATTGTTAAATTTTTGTATCAGATGTTGTTTCGATGGGTCTTTGCTGATTTTAGTCATAAATTGTAACTCATAACAATACAAAAACTGGTCCGCAATAAGTTGTGCACAGTTAGTCCCCATTGGAATTCCGATAACTTAACGATATACGGAATCTCCAAAGCGAACAAAAATGTTATCAAGTAAAAATTCAAGTGCAGATATAGTATCAAAGCATGTCCAATTGACATAGCTCTTTTGGTTGTTGCTACTAAAAAATGACCTAAAAGAGTTTGAACATATGTATTCGCATTCCGACTTTTTAAATGCCCATTTAATTAGGTGTGTGAATTTTTTCTTAATAAGAATATGAGGCAAAGTGGTATATAGGGTAGAAAAATCAAAACTTTGAACAGATTCAAAATCAGTTCACCAATATATGCATGCAATTTATCAAGTACTTCCAACGAGTTTTTGACACTCCAAAAGTAGTTAATTCCACTATTTTCAAAGGCCTTATTTGAACAATTTATTATCAGGTTTTTGATTGTACCAAGTGTACTAGTAAGTAGAATAGACAATTTAGTAGTGGAACAATGACTTGAAGACGAAATAAATCTATATTTGTAAGGTGATTTGTGTAGCTTCGGAAGCCAGTACATAGTTGGGACTTTCATTGTATTTGGTTCTGCTTGTAAAGAAGTAGCTAATAGTTTATGTTTGTTACAGATATCGTTTTCTGAAAATGAAGTCAGTTGGAATGTTGGTGAATTCGTGATTTCCTTTTGCAGAACCTCAATGTAAAATTTACGTCAAACTATAATGATATTATTAGCAGCTTTATCAGCCGGGACAAAAACAAATTCCTTGGCTAGTTCTTTTAGTTTATGTTTGATACGAGAAATAGGATTTTTATGGTTGTTGTTAAGGTTAAAATGTTCTTTAAAATGTTGTATACGTATATCAACTATCTTCATTACTGAATTAAAAAAAGAGTCCAAAGATTTTTTGTCAGCTTTTTCCCGTTTTATCCATTTCAAACAGTAAGCACGAAGTGAGTCGTGGATGATATTACGACACTCATTCCAATTAATAATTGACGGGGGACGATATTTAGGTCCTTTACTGAGGAATGATTTTAACTCTCGGTCGCGAACGATGTTAAGGTCTCCTGTTATAACATGGGAAATGGGGCCATAAGTGTATTCGAAATTACTACATTTACATGACTGAGGTGTATTTTCACTGATATTTACATCTTTACAGACTTGGCTATAATTAAACACAAATGTTCGGGTAGATTTCCTGTAAATATAACAAATAAGAGGGAGTTCAGTATTATCAAAATATCAAGGAATTTGTTCTTTAACAGAATGTTCGTTAAAAATACCGGCAATATTTACAAAATCAAAACCTTTATTGACATACTTTATTTTAATAAAATGTTTTTTATGATCTTCAGGGCGATCAATTTTGGGAAACAGTTTAGAATAACAATATGCCATTATAATTTGAACGATTTCATATTTAGGACTGCAATATGAAATTGTGTTGCAATCCTCTAAAATTTTATTTAATTTATTTATAGGTAAAGAACAGAGCTTGGTTAATAGGTAATGTCTGCCGTTGTTTTTTGAAATAGAAATTAGGTCCGAAATATTTGTATGGTTGGTCCGAAATTTTCTTTGATTGCGATTTTTTCTTCGCCCATGAGAACGGTTTTTACGAACAGTTTTAGAAACTATATCCAAAATGTTAACAGAATCGGTTCTTGATATATTACCAATTCCCATGATATTATCATTTAGACCGAGAGGGTAGACTGTCTGTAATTTTTTAATCCAATTTAATTCAATCATACATCATAAAAGTCTTAAAATATAAAATGACATAAATAGTCATGGCTAAAATTAATATTAATTAATAGTAACTGCTAAAAATAAATTGACAGCTAATCACCTCAAGACAATCATCATTTCTTAATACATAATTTACAAGCAGTGTAAGAGAGGTAATCAAACATTGTTCTTTAAAATTGATTTCGATTACCTCCCTTACACTACTTTTAAATTGTCTCAATTGTCCTTTAACCAGAGAAACCCTTGTTTTTCCCCTTTTTTTGCCCATAATTCCTAAATGGTTTGAGCCATAACCCCCAAAGTCAATCCTAACCATCCCTTTGTAGTATGTAAACTTGTGGTAAAATTTCAGAGAGATTCATACACTTTAACACAAGTTATTGTCTGGAAACTACAAAAATGCTTATTTGGGCCCCTTTTTTGGCCCCTATTTCCTAAACAGTTGGGACCATAACCCCAAAATCAATCCCAACTTTCCTTTAGTGGTTATAAACCTTGTGTTAAAATTTCATTGATTTCTATTTACCTATACTAAAGTTATTATCCGGAAACCATCTGTCTTCGGACGACGCCGACGCTGACCACGACGACAACAACAACATGATACCAATATACGACTAAAAATTTTTTAATTTTTGCGATCGTATAAAAACTGCTGAATTTTTAGTTTCTGTTCTCTACTTAAGTTAGCCTCAACCAAATGTTATGAGACTTACACACAATGCTAATTACCACAAAACTCAGATCAAGTTCAAATTTGGGTAGCGTCACTCTTACCGTTCTTCAGTTATGTCCCTTTATAACTATATGATATGCAAGTGGGGGCATCATCTGTGTCCACATGTGGACACTATCCACATTTATTGGATAATATATTGGTAATTCTGACATGTCTGAGGCCTTTTGAAAAAAACCACAATAATGTTTGAATATTTTATTTTATATTTTCATCAATAAACATGAAGACTAATGAGAATCGTAACATACAGTTATGGTTGATAATTTGTTTTAAAAGTAAAACATTGCATCAGTTAGTCATAACATTTAAAACAACAACTTTGGGACATATTTATATCATGTATATTAATAGCTGCTAAGGTTATATATAGCTATTGATGCAAATAATCCAATATAATGATAGCAGGAAAAATAATATCTGATATCTTGCAAGTTTCCTTCAATGTTAGTTGTTTTATTGATAAACATAATTGTTTTCAATTCAATGCAGAATTTGATTTGAGATGAGTTGTTATTTCATATTTTCAATTAATATGAAACTACCGGTATAAGAAAATGTGGTATCATTGCAAATATGAGACAACTGACCATAAAAGCTCAAATGATATGGATGTATTATTATTAGTTATTGAAGTCGAAGCCAATTACAACTAGTAAATATATCATGTTTTCCAGACTAAAAAAAATAAATCAGTACGTACACATCCTATGGATTTAGTGAAAAGATGTAATTAACAGTCTGAGAAAAACGTGATCATACTAAATAAAACAATTAGAAGATACCAAGTGTGTATTTGCAAAAAAGTTTTATAATGAAGGAGAAATCCATGTCCAAAGACAATAAGCCAAATTACAGTCTAAAACTTACTACTCAAAACAAGACTATTACACAACATTTATAACTTTTAATACCATAAGCTTGGATTCAACTCAGATGTATTATATACAGTTTACTTAGATTTATTTTTATAGAAAAAGAAACAAGCTGTTGAATAAATCTTATAGAAAACACCTGCTGTTGAATATTGTATCATCACAGAGATATGAAGTATTTGTTGCCGTTGGTGATTCTAATTTATAACTGTCTAATGATACAAGGTAAGTAAAAGATTAATGTATATATGTAATAAGGTAGTTTTTGTATTCAAAAGTTTTATTTGTCATTTTTGGAAAATATTTTATTTTGATATTATTACAAGCATGACAAGTGTGGACACAGATCAATGTGGATAGTATGTATGGATGTTTGACAGTGTTTCATGTTGACATAGAGTTCTATATATATTAAACTGTGTTGCACAATGACAGCTTTACTGAGCCAAACACTTAACGTTAGCAGTATTGTTTATTTAATACTTTGTTTTAATGTTCAAGACTGTCATGGAGACACTAATTGCATTGATTACTAAATGATTATGATAAAATATGTTCTACACCTTTGATTTAGGATACATTTGTAGCTAGGAGAGGAACACAAAGTCCATTTCTTCATGATGTGATTTTTTATATGGGAGATGGTATTGGAGAACATGCATGCATGTACTATTTGTATTGTTATATTTATGTTTCTTTGTGGTGGATCTTCCCAGTACCATCAGTAAAATATTTCATTTAAATGTCAAAATTGTTTCTCAGATTAGAAGATATTTAATTGTGCGAATATGTTCTATTTATCTAAAAAGTTATAGAATTTAAAATGAAAAAGGTATTGCAAAAATATTCTTGTTCCAAGATTTTTTTGTTATATGAATACAAATATTAGTGAAGCCAGTACAGTATTAAGCTAGTTTTGTTGTGGTATGAAAGTGCTGTTATTAACATTTACTGTTAATTCACACAATTTGACAAATTGACAAATGAATGATAGATGTTGAACAATGAAATATAATTTTAGAAATCAATTAGGGCAGAAAGGTCCTTTTTTACAATACTGAATGACACTTACATCTACTCAGGACTCTGTTATCAGTAGGCAGTGCAGAAGTTTAAAAAAGTGTAACAAAATCACCTAGCATCATATTCATGTTCATGATATTGCTAGTAGCACGAGGATCTGAAGTCCTGAAACAAAAAACCTTTAATTTTATATCATATTTTCAGTATACATGTACGGTATAAATGGTATAAATGGGGAACACCGGTTAAAACTTTCACAAAGTTGTGGTAAAATGATTCGGTACCTAAATTGCTTCATGCACAAATTGATATAGGCTGAGTACCCCTCTGTTTAATATGAGATCATACATCCACCTAATCATAGTAAACTGAAAAACAAACAATCAAAACTATAAAATGTTATTAGACTGTCACTTATCACTTATCAGTGTCTATAGCTATTTACCATCAAAACTGAATCAATAATATAATACTCAGATTGATGTCCCTCTCTAATGTCCAAATGAAATAAGATTCCTAATCTATCACCAATTAAATACCCCTCTAATCATGCTCATGGACAGCTATTTGATGTTTTCAAATCAATGCCCCAAAATATTGGCTTCTCTAATTGACATCCTTTTTACAGACTAGCCGCAATGAAATCACAGTTTTAGTAAATGGTAGGTGGAACATTAACATGCTAAAACTCAAAAAATTTTAAATGTTATATTTTAAATCTTGCAAATACATGTAATTACATATTTTTATTAGTACAACTCTTTTCAATAATTAACTTTTACAAAAATCTTCTCCTCTGAAACTACTGGGCCAAATTTAACCAAACTTGGCCACAATGATCATTGAGGTATCTAGTTTAAAAAAAATGTGTCAGGTGACCCGGCCAACCAACCAAGATGGCCGCCATGGCTAAAAATAGAACATAGGGGTAAAATGTAGATTTTGGCTTATTTCTCTGAAACCAAATTAAATCATTTCTGCATTTGCTGTTCTAAAAAAGGAAAGGAGAAAATGTAGCCTTTTAAACTTATAGAGGGGGAGGGGAACAGGGATTAATTATGTTTGAAACAACTTTTCTAAAGGATGGATCAACTTTTCAATATTGACAATAAATAATTAAGATTGAAGTCCATCTGGGAACAGTATATCTGTATTATATAGATTCCAAATTGTGGACAAACCCAACATCAAATTATGATAATGTTCTATGATAGGATATCAAATTAAAAGACAGACAGTAAATTACAATGCAGAGACGAATTAATTGTCGCAAAGGTGATACAATCAAATAAGTCTTTCCTGCATACATCATGTACATGTCATGTGTAAAATGGGATATACCATTTTCAGGGCTGTACTGTCCTTCATATTTAGGCCAATTGCACACAGCAAAATATAAAGAACATGTTTACTTTATATAATGTTTCTTTATTAAGGAAGTTTATCAGCAAATCAAACTTAGTAACATACCTTAATTGTACATGTATGTTACTTAATAACTCGACTCGGAATGTAAACAATCCCTAAAATATATGGTCAGATCATGTTTACTTATGTCATATGTTTTCGTACTATGTATGCTTTTTCAATGGAAATCGTGACATCATAATGCATTCTTAATAGAACAAAAACTCATGAGACGAGGATAATGTATATAAAATCCTCTATAGCGATTTTTATAAAGCCTTTAAAGGTGAAAGACGTAGAATTCACGAAATTTACAGAGATTCCGTTGATTTTATCAGTTGAATAGACAGAAATGAGATTAAATATACATACATGTACACAAAGGTCTATTAGACAGTTGAAGTGTAAACAGTAATTCAGTTTTATTTGTTGGTTGATACAGACATACAATACATTATTGTATTAACCTCATGTTACAAATTTACAGTTTATGAATGTAATTATAGATTATCGTTGGTCATCTATTTTCTCGCTTGAGCCGGTACGGCGAAAGTGAGAATAGCAATCGAGTTGAGATGACCAATGATAATCTGTTTATTGCTATTTTACCTATGAAGACGTTGTTAATTTCATTGACAACGGCACATGCGCCCTTAGTTTCTAGCGATAATTTTTCATATCACTCTACTGTGCTGAGAAAGGAAATTTTCAGTCAGTAAGATCAAAGGAAAATTTCGTAAAATATCGATAATAATATTTCTATATAAATTATAGATAATACTGAAGAATGTTCTGGTATCTTTATGAATTTTCCCATTTGATCTTTTTATTATTGAAAACGGCATAAAAAATCATCCCATTATCTTTGGTTGCTATAATAAGACGCTTTACCTGTACAGTTGTTGCTAGGGTGCTCTTTGAGGTCTGCATTAAACCGTAGTATAAATACTGGGTAGCTATACAGTTTAAGTTGTTACTGACCTTGCAAGGGCTGCAAAGCCAGTCAAGGTCGTTAAAAACATCCATCGTCATCAAAGTTGTCATTTGTACAGAAGACGTTTAAGGAAGAAGATCAGGAAAGCAGGAGAGTGAAGAGTTAAAAGCAGGATTAGTTAAATAGTAAAGTGTTTGAAACCTGCTGACAGGATATAGAAAGGCTGAAACACTTGGTTCGGTACAAATTTCCAAACTGGTGCTAGGGTTTAACGTTACACATCTCTCACTATTGCAGTTAGTGTTTGCTGTTAAACCATACCTTTGTGCTACCCTGTTGTTCCAACAGTTATAGACATATATTTAAATAAAGTTTCATACCACTTCAAATAGTTTCCATACATTTGTTTTAATAGGTTCTATACATTAAGGTTTCAGCCCAGTTTCGTACATTTAGGTTTCTGCCTATTTCCAAACATTTGGTTTGAACGAATATCAGACTGAAAGGGTTTTAAACAGTTTTGATTTACCAGGTTCGGGTTAAGTTGATAGGTGTTGAAATTCACTTTAAATAGTATTTAATTGACTTTAGAAATTTTGCATTGCTCTTCAAATCCCAGGAAACTGGTACACATCATAAACTCGAGGATAAATATATTAAAACGCCCTGTTCGGTTGCACGTTACACTCTTCTCATGGGTTTCTGTACTATTAAGAATGCAGTGATGTGATATTTTCCACTGAAAAAGCATGCATAGCATAGAATGTAGTACAAATTCATATGACCAGAGATACATTAAGGCCTTTCCCCTCCGCCCCTTTTCCCGTTCATAAATGTAACATATACATATATCCTAAATAAACTGCTCAACTGGGCGCAGCTTGATACGACCGCAGAGGTCGAACCCTGAACAGTTGGGGCAAGTATGGACACAACATTCAAGCTTGATACAGCTTATAGGTTTCTGACACAGAATGAATGTGGTCTAAGAACTTAAAATTTTATAATTTACCTATTATGGTCCAATATCCAAAATCTAAATACATGGTTAGATTCAGCATATCAAAGAATCCACAGAATTCAATTTTTGATGAAATAAATCAAAGTTTTATTTTGGACCCTTTTGACCTCAATGTGGACCAATTTGATAACGGGGCCCAAAAATCAAAATACATTGTTAGATTCAGCATATCAAAGAAGCCCATATATTCAATTTTTGTTGAAATCAAACAAAGTTTAATTTTGGACCCCAGCTTGGACCAACTTGAAAACTGGGCCCATAATCAAAAATCTAAACACATGTTTAGATTCAGCATATCAAAGAACCCCAAGAATTCAATTTTTGTTAAAATCAAACTGAGTTTAATTTTGGACCCTTTGGACCTTAATGTAGACCAATTTAAAAAACGGGACCAAAATTAAAAATCTAAATACACGGTTAGATTTGGCATATCAAAGAACCCACCTAAATTCAATTTTTGATGAAATCAAACAAAGTTTAATTTTGGACCCTTTTGACCTCAATATGAACCAATTTGATAGCAGGGCCCACAAATAAAAAATCTAAATACATGGTTAGATTCAGCATATCAAAGAACCCCTCATATTCAATTTTTGTTGAAATCAAACAAAGTTTAATTTTGGACCCCAACTTGGACCAACTTGAAAACTGGGCCCAAAATCAAAAATCTAAATACATGTTTAGATTCAGCATATCAAAGAACCCCATATATTCAATTTTTGTTAAAATCAAACTAAGTTTAATTTTGGACCCTTTGGACCTTAATGTAGACCAATTTGAAAACTGGACCCAAAATTAAAAATCTAAATACACAGTTAGATTCGGCATAACAAATAAATA